AATATCTAAGCTTGATTTAAGCTCGTAGTTTTAATTTTCTTAGCATCTCTGAGTATAATTTCTTTTTATAATTTGCCCAATTCCAGTTTAATTTAAGCTTTTATTGACCTATAATTGCAAAATCTACTCTTAATTTTGATATTAATGTATCTTTTTTTAATTTTAATTTGTCTGATCTTTGCCTAAGTCATTTATTTTTTATTCTTATTTTTCTTCTTCATAGGAAATTTTTATGTGATTAATTTACTTGCCACGAAAATCATCGGGATATTTGGATTTCATTTTTAATTCGAATTCCTCAATCCTTTTATATAAATGACTCGCTTAATTAAAAATCACTGCTTCGTCTTTGATCCACTTCGATAATTTATTAGTTTGATTTTGTTTTCTAAAGGCATCATCAATTAAAACTATTGAACCGTGATCATTTTTGTGTCTAATCACTCTCCCCATTGCTTGATTAATCGATTTGATAGCATCCATAACATACCAATCCTATCCATTTATTTGAGAAGTTTTATTTTGGAATTTTGTGTCATAATTATCTCATTTAATCAAAGTGCGTGGATCACCTAAATCTGAATAAGGAATTCCCAGGATAATCACACATCTTGCATCGTTGTCTGAAAAGTCTATTCCTTCACTTAATTTACCCTTGCAAACAGCAAAGAATATACCTCCTCTACAATTCTAAGATTAATTATCAGCTCTGAAATTATCTAAAGCCTCATATAGCTATTTGTTCTTCCTATTTTCAAAGTAAATATTTCTTTGAGTTTTCTGATATAATAAAATGCTTTGTTACCTCCAAAATTGACTATAATTGTTCATCTTTTGATATGATTAGAAAAATACTAGTATCCCTCCATGAACTCTCATAACTATATTTTCAATTATGAGTCCTAACCTTAAGATAAGTTCATCGTTGTATAATAGATTATAGTGTCTCATTATGAAAGAGACATTTTAATCAGCACAGAGGATATTGAAAGACACATTTTCAGTAGGAATTACATGACTATTTTCCAATTTTACTTTGAAATCTATTCCTAGCTCACTTTCAATTATATTTAATGGAGATAAAGTACCGCTAGTCAAAATAATAGATCGAGGTTTATTTCTTAGAAGATACTTAAATGTTTAAGTTAATTCCACAAGTTATACTCCAATGACATAATCATCTAAATACTGATTTTCTATTTTGCAATATTTATATCTTTTCTGAATATAGCAGACATATCTTTTATTCAATTCTGTATTTTGACCATTTTATAAATACTTCACCTCTTTTTCCAGTTCGGCTAACTTTCCTAAAATTTATAGCCACTTCTCAAGGCAAAGTCATTTCTTATTCTCCTTTTCAGTTTAATAATTGTAAATATCATCTAATTTTGCTCTCTTGCAACTCATAATATATTTGATTATCTCAAATACCTTTTATTGCTATTCCTCGAATTTTAAGATTACTCGAGTTTATTCATTTTACCCTTAAAATATCATCTATTTGAAACAACTCGAATGTCTTGAATCATTGTTATTTTGAGTACTATTCATCCCTAGAAACTCTGCTAATTTATCTAGATCAATTTAAATGAAACCTTCTTATCCCTATTTTTTATTTCTACTTCTTAATAGCTCCAATTGATCGCTCTCTAAGTTGAAAATTTTGTATTGTATTTCTTAAATTTGAGATTAAACTTCAAAGTATGTATTTTCAAGAAATAAAGGAATATACCCCTTAAAATTCTGCAGTTCATCAGAACATCTTTACAATAGATCTAGAGTGAATTCGAAACTGCTCATTTCTTCTACACTTTTGCCTATGTTATGTCCTTCATCAATTATAATAATACTGTTTTCGAGTTCAATGCCTTTCGAGCCAAGAATTTAAGGCATTACTAAATAGTTGTAAGGAATCAAAATTATATCTGCCTCATGAATGAATACTTTCTATGAAAAAAACGGGCAAAACTTTATATCCTAACCTCTATTAAATATTGATTAATTACTCATAATTGCTTACTTATTGGCTAACTCGCTTATTGTAAGATTTTCAAAAACTTTGTAAGTATTTTTATCCTTTGCTTTTTCATAATATGAGCAACTACTAGCTCCTTATTCTAACTCTTCAATTTCTTGGATTTTATTCATCAATTAATCAATTTCACTATCGCTTTTAAATTATTCTCTACTTGATTTTTTATGGTTTCATTGAAATTATTCATATTCCAATTTCTTTTTTAATCTAAGTTTTCTTTTGTAAAGTTTTTCTTTTTATAATCAGACATCATCACACTTTTTAATAAGTAAATCTCCCTAAAAAATTAAGCTACAAATATTTTACAAAGTATTCATTTTTATCAATTTCATTGTTGCAGCATAGTTAATCTCTTGATCCTAGGGTAATAGTTTTAAGATGAAACTTTAACTTTCCTATTTCTTTGTAGACTTGCTCAAGCTACGAATGTGTTCAAGATGCAAAGATGATTTTGGGTTTTTATGGAAAATCTTATTTGAGTGAGTATTTAAACTTGTCCATATCAAAGCATTATTTCATATCGTATTCCTATATCTTTTTCTAGTTCTCATTATACCATTTGGATCTTGCTTCTTTTAACCATGAAGAGCATGAACATAAGAGTGCTAATGTTTTTCCTGTTCCTGTAGGACTTTCTAGCAAAGCATTTTGACCAGTTACTAAAGCTTCCATTACTTTATGCATATATCACTGCTGCTGTGAATATGCCTCGTGCTTTGGGAAGTATACCTAATGATCAAGCATTTCATATTTAAATTGGTAATAGCTGTCTTTATTGACTAAAATATATGAAGGGATAGATTTTATTCATACTTTGGATTAGATATTTTGCTGAGGGATCATTGGTTTAATTCTCTCCAAATTCTTAGTTTTCTAGATATTTTATCGGTGATATTTAAATGCTTACAGTCGATAATGTCTTGAGGATTATCAAAAATGTCATCCAAATATATTCCATCGAAA